CCCCCACTCCCCCAACTTGATGAAAAGAATTTGTGTGAAACTTAAAGTGCAAAACTCTCGCCGCTCCGTGCATTGCGCGGCGCCTGGCCTGTTATTGTCAATGAGTGTCTTTAGCTGACTAATTAATCTCTTTATCCGGTGATTAGCGGAGCGCCACGTGTGGAACGGCGGGCGTGGCAAGCAATGCGGTCGGAGCTCTGATCCTAACCCAGGCACGTAAACGCGCTTAATTTAGTAGACGATAGGTTAATGATACGGTCCATGCCACGCGGGTCTCATTGGATTGAAACCACTCTCCATCACTGAAAAAAAAATATTAATAAATCACAACGTGTTTCTCCTCACGTTTGTAAGAGTTGCTTGCGGACTGTAGAACACGTTGCATACCATATGCCATGTGGAATAATTGCGTGAGACGATGTGACCGTCTAAACGACGTTTTCGGTTTTATATACAAACTTAAAGTATTTATTCGAAATAACCTGGCCGTTGTCGATCCTCATTAGTGCAAGATAATTAAATAATTATCACTATACCACCATTTTAATGTTGACGTTTTAATACGATCAAATTATGATTGCATAGCTTCGACATCCATGGACGAACAGCACATGGACAAGACGTCAACGTGAGGTACATTACATTACAGTCACAGGGACACCGTCACAGTGACACCGCTATAGACCACGGCCCGTGCCAGGCAGGCGCGTGTGCCCGGGCGTTTTGTTGCGCATGGCTTGGGGCGGCTTAAAGGCGGCTCCTATGAGAAAGTCCTTTCCCCCATTCACTGGAAATATCAGCGGGGGATTAGGTGCGGTCAGGTCCGCTGTAGGTGGCCCCCTCGTCCCCCGCCACAGAAATAATAACCTAAAGGTACGGCTCTACTTCACAGACAACCTCAAAATGTGGTCGCAATAAGGCAATCCAAAATGTGGGATTGCCTTCATTTGGTGACAGTTGAGCCAACCATATCTTATGGTCGCCTGGTCGCCTCCTAATTGACCGTATGCAACGGATGCCATAGTCATTTTTTTCTGGGCATCGTGCACCGCTCTGTCCCTCTCTTGTTCTTTTTCAGTCTCAATCGGCAAAATACGGGAGCTCGGGACCTGCGAGGCTCAGGGTAGGCCACTCCGCGGTACCTGCATGCGCTGCAGCGAAGACGTTGCCGACCCACCAGGCGCTTCAAGAGCTTGCATAGGCTGAACTCGGTAGTTTCGTGACGACCTGGCCGTGCGGGTTTGACACTCCCCACCTATAGTACCGAAGTCTGCTTTCAAACGAACGGTAACAGAAGCTGTTGTTACGTCGTCGAACGTATTTTGCAGACATATGGTCGAAAGCAGGACAATGACCATAATATTCTAGTGAGGTATTGGATTAACTCGCACGACCAAAGCCCTCTCATATGGAAAAGAAAAGGAGGTCTCTCCCTCTCTTTCTTTCTTTCTTTTCTCTCTCTCTCTCTCTCTCTGTCTCTCTCTCTCTCTCTCTCTCTCTCTCTCTCTCTCTCTCTCTCTCTCTCTCTCTCGCTCTCATACGCTCGTTCGCATTCTACCCCAACCTAAAAGTCACGGCCGAGTAGAAAGGCAGCACAGGCGTTGCATGACTGGTCATTCGCGCCGGTGAAAGCCAATTATTAACAATTTTATAAAGCTCCCTTTCGTCACCAGTTTTGATCCTGTGCCTTGACAGTGTAGTCGTATGACAGACGCCGGCCGGACGGGCGATCACTTGCAGAAATGTTGTGCGCCTCTGCGACCTGTCCGAGAACGTCGAGAACGTGTTTCCCCTCCCCGTGTGTGCGTTTCCCGCTCTTGGAATAACTCCTTCCGCCGACAACTACAAACAGCTTTGGCCAATTTCGATGATTAAATATAAATCAATAGGGCAGCACAAGGATCACCGGTGCTATGGGAACACACGTCGATCTATATTTTTTCTGTCCCGTCTTTCTCCCTCTCCCCCGCGTCTTCGCGCCCGTCGCCGTCTCTTTCTCCGTCTGCCTCGGCACGGATGTTCAAGTCGGTACCAATTAGGTGAAGGAATTACTGCCACAGCTTATTTAATGAGCCCTAGGCAAACGTGCTAACAAGGCTTCGCAGAATCAATCAGTAATAATGATACCTGCTCGATGTATACCGCCGATCAGTAAGTTTTTTACGGCGTGATGTATCAGTTTCGTTAGGCTATTGCAGATATTTCAGACAATACAGAAAATTTTCTAGCCAACAGCATTGAAAAATCTGTGGCCTGTATGCCAATATTTTGGTGTTCCTTTTAAACGCCAAATTTAGAGATTTTTCAATACCACACTTAATGTTGTTCAAAACGAATGCGAATTTTTTACCTCTTTGAATGCTAAGTATCGTTGTTTCTTTCGGGTATGGCAAAAATTCGGGGCCTCTTTGCATGATTTTGGCAAGCAAAGAGGTTAACATTTGTCATTTGTTTGAATGAAACACCAAATATTTAGCATTCAGAAGGTAACAAAAAAAATGACAAGCAAAGAGACCACAGAATTTACAACCTTTTTTTCTTTTCAAATTCTGAGATTTATTTTCTTATTTTTGTACTTCCAGTCTCGTGCGGAATCGAGTCGAGAGGTGAGTGTGGCCGGGTCAGATCTGGCCGCTCTAGACAATCAGTAAGCAGTTCGATCGCCTCGCCGTTAAGCCCCTCATAAATCACCCTCCCTCTGACCTAGAGCCTAGAGAACCTAGAGTTAACAAAGCGCACGGCGCCAACACTGAGAAAAATACTTAGAAAAACACGAACGTCACAGTTTTTGTTGCAACTTAACACTTCAAACTTCGAGCTGGACGCAAATTATTTCTAATATTTTGCCCAACTTTGACTTCGCTGTCCTCCACCAAAATATAAAATAAAAGTGTCCCCTATTTTTGCAAAAAGATACTTAGAAAATGCGTAAGGAAGGAAAAAGAACGAAAGAAATGCAGTGGTAATCAGCATAAAAGGCACCGCAATCCATGAAAGGGAATTCCAATGGGCAATGTCATCTGGCTGGTTACTCAATGGAGCGGCTGCCGTCGACGGACCTCCGCCACGCCCCGCCCCGCCCCACCCCGTCGCGTCGCCGTGGACCCTGACACTGACCCAGGACGGACTGGTACAGAGCGGAACACGCGGCCGGTAACTCGACGCTGCTGCTACCTGACGCATTTTTACAACGATACCCGGCTGTTGTCGTGAGCGCATAATATCGTGCACCACTCACTTGGAAAGGCATTTGACATACGATCCGCGTCGATGATAATCTTTGCTAGATGTAACAAAACTTCTACCCGCGTGTTGTCGTGTGCCCATAAAAAAAAAAAAAAAAAGAATCGTGGTACGTTTTATAAGACGCAAAACGTGTGTGGTTCCACACAAATAAAGTACTGTGTTTAAAAACTCAGACAGTTCAAATAAAACTATCAGTTGAAGCCCGCGCGGGTAATTGAGGATAACGAACGCCACCACAAAAAGCCCACGGCGGCGAGTATAGTGTTGGCTGCGGTTGCAAAGTACCTCCCTCCCTGCTGCTGCCGCGGTGGTGTAGGTGTTACCATTGAGCGAAACAACTGCACTCTGCGGTGAGCCGACACGCCCCTCCGTGTCCCGCCCTTGAACCGTGTAAGTCCTCAGGGCATCCGAGCTGGACGGACACTATATCACAATTCTATTTTCTTAGGTGGACGGACACTGTGACACAATTATATTTTTCAGAAATCTACGACGTAATTTTTTGCAAATAAAAAACATTTGTTATACCGCTTCTCTGTATTTTTTTATCTCGGCTTTGTTAAATATGTTTATTTCTGTAGCACAGAAATTCCCCTATCTCAAAAATGCGTTATGAAATGGTGAGACTCAAATATGGCCATATATTCGGAAAACTCGTCACTAACCGCCATTTTAGTTTGATTAGAACAATTATTATTTACCCAGGAGACGCGGAAGCGACGCGGGGGTTTCCGTGTCAATCACACTGACTCTTGGCGTCAGAAATACGAACATACACACGCATTCACAGACAAACACAAACACACACACACACACACACACACACACGCGCGCGCGCGCGCGCGTGGCGCAAAGCGCGACAGGGCGCTCGGACCAGTTTGCGCGCCAAAGAGAGCAGAACGATCAATAATGGGGGTACCATAACACATTATTTGCAAAGGCGCTGCTGGGTTAATTCGGGTGAACACACACCACCACACACCGCGCCTCCTGGTCGGGCTCGAACGGCTTCTGACACCACCGCCCGCGGCAGAAGCCCCCCCCCCTGTTACACTTCAACAAGAGCACACAACAGGAGAACACAACGTGTAAGAGTAACCTGAACTAAAACTGACATTATGAACCGACCCAAAACCTGGATCGAACTGTCATACGTGCGACGCTTTAAGGTTTACCTCTGATAACTCAACAACTTCATCTCTTCGCGACACTGCTATTTGTCCTCGACGCACGTCATCGCCTAACCCTAAACCCAGCCTGGCCTAAACTAACCTACCCAACCTAAGGTACCCAACCTAACCTCTACCCACGACTCGCCCTTTTGACCTCGCCGCACCCGGACCCTCACTTGAGCCGGAGGAGCCGGACCGCTGGACCTCACCCTGAGCCGCCGCCGATGGCCGGGGCGGCGGGCGGCGCGAGCACGACCAGGACGCCGAGCGGCAGCAGGGCCTGCACGAGCATCGCGGCAAACACAGCCTCACTGATTGGGATGACTCGCCGGAGCATCCATCCGTCCGCGCAGCGTGGCGGGGCGTGGCGGGGCGTGGCGGGGCGTGGCGGCGGACTCAAGGCCTCCGAGACTCGTCTGGCCTGGGGCGTGGTGGTCCCCCCCGGGGAAGGGTACAGTGCGTAGGACCCGCCACATCCCCTCCTTCTCCTCCTCCTCCCCCACAACCACCACCCCCGTACCTTCGCGGTTTCCTTCTTCTTTCAATTCGCGAAATGTTGTTGCCTTGATCGAACCCCATTCCTTTCAGAGGGGGGGGGGA